TAAAAGTAGATTGTTTCTCTTGCTGTGAACCTCTTCTCCTTCTAAATGTTTTGTTTTTGACCTTTCTAGCAAGATACATGCTTAAACAAATGTCTTCTTTTTGGATTCGCATTAATGGGGCTTGATCACATTAGATGGTTTTTTTAATTATGTCTCAAATGCACTGAAGCTCTAGAATCATATTCAATTATAAGTTTTTGGAATCACTGACTGTTGGGGAGACTTTAAATGAGAAGATAATATCAAGATGATCAATCGGTGCAGATATGCCCCATGACATCACTCACTCTCCCATCACAGTGTACACGCATTTACGGACTCACACACACATGGAGGCACACATATATTTTTGTGCCCACATTTTTTTGTTTTATCTTGGTCTCCATTTATTACAAGGGAAAAGATACAAATTTACCAAAATTTGTTATGATGCAGGATTTCGCAAAGGGAGGAAGATAGCACGGTGGTTTACATCTCCTTTTAAGGATTCTGATCAAGATTTACGTAATTACCCAAGCACCAAGGTCAGATGTCTTTTTTGTTTCATATAAATTTCCAGTGTCACCATGTTCGTGTTCTTTACAGTGGTAGCTGATATTATTTTTGCAACTCATTTAACAGCCTACTGCTTTGGAGTGTAACCGCTGTGAAAAGGACACTCGAAGAAAAGTTCGCAAGATGCGGAAGAATTTAACTGGGGATCCACCAAAAGTCATACCTGCTTATAAGGTCTCCAAAAATATAAAAAGTTTTTCACATGAATTGGGTCCGAAGGGTGGCATTCAACCTGCCCATCCAAGGGCGCACAGCTTTAATGATTTGAAGGTATGCACTTTGCAGTAAGATTTATTACACTTAAATTTTGACGTTTAAGGGTTTTTGAGATAGTGTAAGGTATTACGATCTCATTAAACTTAGATTTTTTTATTTTTTTTTTGGTTTGGTAGGTGTTTCAAGTATTTAGTTTTTGTTACTCTTCTCAAACCAACTTTTACTTCTTTCTTTTTCTTCCCCATAATCAGTGTGATATTAGTATTTTTATAATTGCTATTTTTCATGTATTTGGATTATCACTTGTATTGACTTTCTTGTAATATGGCATTTAGGAGCTCATGGGATCACTACGTTCGAGATTTGATGCTGCTAAAGAAGTTGTAGACATAGAACTTCGTTGTTTTTCACAGGAGATACTGGACGTTTTGCAGAAAGATTATACCCTGAGACCAGATATATGTATAATGGCAGAGGAACTTTTACTTCTTGTCCAGCAATGTATTTCCATGTCTTCCTTAGACTTCAGAATAAAATGTGAAACAATTGTCCAGGACTTGACTGTAAAGAGACAGAAATGTGAAGCAGGATTGTTGAAAGTATTACTCACACGCATGCTTTTCATTTTGACTCGATGTACAAGATTGCTGCATTTTGAGAAGGATAATGGCCGTGTGAATGAGCAGTCACTGGACAAATTCAGAGAATGTTTGAAAAGGATTCCGTCAGTTGACAGGAATTGGGTTGTGAATAAGGGCTTTGCAGATTCTGACGTAGGTTTTGTTATAGAACAAGGTAATGCCAAGGAACAGTTTCAAGGAAAATACCATACAGGTGTTCCTTTCCAGGCGAATGAGAGCAGGTTCAAGGAGCCTGCCGAGAAGCAGGACGAAGAAATCAGAAAGAATCAGATGTCTATTGAACAAAAAAGATCTCAAAATGCATTTACTGATGTTTCATATCCTGAGCAATCTGATAGAACTGATGACATGCTTCAGATGGAGTCCGCAAACAGAGAGAAAGAGAACTATTCAGATGATTCAAATTTGGTTATTTGCCGGATATGTGAAGAATTTGTTCCTGCTGTTCACTTGGAGCCACATTCCTATATATGTGCGTTTGCAGACAAATGGGTTTCCAATCATCTGGATGTGAATGATCGCCTCTTGAAGCTTTCGGAGTTATTGGAGCACTTGTTGGAGTTGCGCAATTCAGGGAATCATGAAACCTACATGAACCCTCAGAATTTGAGAACGCGGCCCAGTAACTCTACCCTGACAGCAGAAACTCACTCACCAAAGAGCAATGAGTGGCGAAGTAAGGGAATGGATGGAATGTTGGAGGATCTACATGAGATGGACACTGCCTGCATTGACGACTCTCATCTTGCACACTTGGTGAGCTTGAAAAGCCACTTGCTGAGCAAGGTAAATCAATATGGTTCACCATCTTCAAATGGGAGCATGACGTCCACATCATCCACAAATAGCCCTCGGGAAAATATCGACATCTTTTGGTTGGATCAAAGTAATTTGTCGGAACAAGAAGACATGCAGCAGGTGTGTCTTCCTTGCCCTTGGTACTGTTATGTTTGAAGAGTAAGGGGCATAATAGATTCTAGATAAGCGGTTATGGTTGAAACAACCAGGCTATCTTATGATATGATGTCACAAAAATAAGGTGAAAGTGAGGAAATTTTCTATTGAATAGCTGCAATACTTAATACCATAAATTTAATATGCTTGACATGGAAAATGATGAAAAATGGATGTCAAAGAGAGATTTTGAGTTGATCGTGAATCCCATGTTAAGATTTAATCTTATGATCGAGTAATCAAACCATATTTAGCATCATCTACATTAACGTAGGATTCGTTATGTGGTAGCATATTGTGGGAGTATACTGGATAGTTTAAGCGATGAAGTAAGTCTTTTGGTGACTCAGGCTCACCATGGGCCCACAATGTGACGATTCATTTTATCTTCATGACCTTTGACGCGCTCTTTTGTGAAATGCAATAAACTAGAAAACAAATTTTAACTGTGGGATTCTCATCCAATAAAACTTGTCCTATCTTGACTTTTAAAAATTTAATCTCCAAATACGGTAATGGAACTTCAGGTATTGGGCTCCAGTGGCATTCATACTTCATGAAGGGCCTGTCGTTGGCTTTGGTGGTATGATTAGCATGTGATGATCTTTCCTTTTTTATGCGTTACAGCGTCCAGTTGCCTACCATGTTTCATTTGTGCATTGTTACCGTTTTATTTAAATTTTAGTTCAACTTAACTTGTTATGCTTACACTCTGAATCATATTTGCAGATGCATGACCTTGCTGATATTGCTGGATGCGTGGCAGGGACTGATCTTTCTAAAGAAGGGTCCAGTGAGTTTTTGCTTGCCTGCATGCACGACTTGAAAGAGGTTTTACAACATAGCAAGTACAGTGCTCTTCTAGTAGATACTTTTGGTGGCCGAATAGAAAGCCTTGTGAGGTAATAGATTAATAGGACAAGAAATGTTGCAGTGTATATATGATGCTTTTAATGAAGAACCAACACTTAAAATCAATATGCAGGGAGAAATATATACTCGCTTGTAATCAAGTGGATACAATTGATGATGCTGGACATCCAGAAAGTGCAAGAACTTTGCTGGATAGTGCATCTCAGAGTAGTACAACATCAACACCTTCACATCCTGCACATAAAGAGCGTACAAGCATTGACGATTTTGACATTATAAAACCCATCAGCAGGGGAGCCTATGGAAAAGTCTTTCTGGCTAGAAAGCGGATTACAGGAGATCTGTTTGCCATTAAGGTATGCTTCAAATATTTGATCTCTTGTCATTGTACTCGAGGAACTTAATATAGTGATATTGATCTCTACACATTATGGAAGCATAATAAAAATAAGGTAGCTTAAGGTGCATTGTTATGTCTGATCCCGCTCCATTGTGAGGAACAGTTTGTTGGAGAGTTGAAAGGTCTTTGTACTTGTGATGATATGCATAGAGATTCATCTTGCTTGTGCCATGCATCTCAAATACTACAAATAACTAAATCTGCAAAGACAAATTAATCAACTATTTTGAGTATGCATGTTAAGTTAAAGATAAAGTGCTTAATATCTCGTAGGATTTCAGTTCACAAGCCAAAGATCTCTTGCTCAATCTTCAAAGTTTGATGCAGACNTTTTTATTTTTTTATTTTTTTATTTTTTTTTAATGTGCTTTGTTACCAGCCTGTGCTGATCTTGTCAAAAGTTGCCTTATGATTTTGTTAGCAAGTGTTCAATTTTTGGCTTTTGTAATAAACCTTCCCTGTTATTCATCATTAGGAGTAATATTTCCATTGCTATTGCAGGTGCTCAAAAAATTGGATATGTTACGGAAGAATGATATTGATCGCATATTGGCCGAGCGTAATATATTAATCACAGTGCGAAACCCTTTTGTGGTAATTCTTAGAGCTTAACTATAACATACCTAAATATGTGTTAGTTTGGGAAGTTGCGAATGTTGGTCGTGTTAATGTGCAACTGGAGAACATAATACTTGAGTCTGTTCGAAGTTCTTTTTGTATTCAGTTTTAGCAGACAGGTAGTACCTGATCAACGAATAAGAGAAACCAAGTTTAACTATTTTGGTTACAGAGCTATACAAGATGTAAGCATTTGGTGTGGGATGTTGTATGGCTCAGCAGAATCTGTTTTTATGTGTAGGTTCGGTTTTTTTACTCATTTACCAGCAGAGATAACCTTTATTTGGTCATGGAATATCTCAATGGTGGAGATTTATACTCTTTGCTAAAAATGATTGGTTGCCTTGAAGAAGATGTTGCTCGTACCTACATTGCTGAACTGGTAAACTTTGACATGTTCTGTATCTAAGCTCTTTGTATCTGTCAGAAGTTTTTAAGTATACTTATATTATTAACAATGCTTTGGAATTTCTTTTAGGTACTTGCACTAGAGTACCTTCATTCTCTTGGAATTGTACATCGTGATCTGAAACCAGACAACATATTAATTGCTCATGATGGGCATATCAAGGTATCTCTAGAACATACTCTTTTTTGCTGGTTAGGGAGATTTGTGGTGGTGGATCCTATATAGAAAATCTTGTTATGAATGCGCGAAATCTGTATCTTGCTTCATAGGAAATATAGAGTATTGGAGATGCGAGAGCATCTGACCAAGTTTTGACTACTTGAAATTTTGTTGAAAGAACAAAGAATTTCAATTTACAGCGTTTTCTTTACCTGGAAACCTGGAATGCTAACATCAGCTGTATTCGCATCTGACCAAGTTTTGACTACTACTTGAAATTTTGTTGAAAAAAACAAAGAATTTCAATCTACACCGTACCTGGAAACCTGGAATGCTATCATCAGTTGTATTCATTGTCAAATGATATCATGTTTCTGCTTCAAATTACTTTGGAAACATAGAGGTAGAGGTATTGGGGTAACCCCATAATCTTTAAGCAATGACGTGATATATGTATACACTGCATTAGCTATGCAACATGGAGACAGTCTGAAGTAGAAGTTTAGCTTACACTTATGAAAAGAAGCTAGTAAGAGTTGTGGAAGTATGGCTAGAAACTTGGGAACATTGGATAAGTCACTCATTTATTTGTAGTTTTGTACTCTGTAGGAAGGTTGTCATGATGATTACTAATCACTAAACCTTGCACAATTTGATCAGCTTACTGACTTTGGATTGTCGAAAATTGGCCTGATGAATTGCACTAATGAGCTATCCTCGCGAGAGACGAATAAAAACGACAATTTTGATATAAATGGTCAACACAGCGCAGACAAATTGGACGGTGATGAGTCAGCTGTTGGTACCCCTGACTACTTGGCACCTGAAATTCTTCTTGGAACAGAACATGGTTAGGCAGCTATAAAATTTGTTGTTTCATGGTTGACATTGTTCTCTTTTGTGTCTTCTATCAATTTCGAAAACTCAAAATACTGGAAACATTGTTTCATGGTTGACATTGTTGAATTGCTTACAGTATCTTCTTGATACTTCTGTAGGTTTTGCTGCAGATTGGTGGTCAGTAGGAATCATCTTGTTTGAATTTATAAGTGGAATCCCTCCTTTCAATGCTGATCATCCAGAGGTAGTTACTCAAGATCCTATGTTTGCTTCAATCTTGTTTTGCTGCTATTGCCTGTCCATCTCATGTAGTAGTGAGATGTGCTCAAATGAGTAATGACTGCATGGCATGAAAACTTTCTGTACTATTCCGTCTGGAGCACAAGGATGGAACTAACACTCCTGAGGTTTAGAAATTTTAAGGCTAGGGTTGGTCTTGGAACCCTGAGATACGTTCATCTATCAGTTAGCATATAAATATGCTCTGTAATGTCTATGATACAGCCTGTTTATTGGCCCAAAGATTTCACAGCTCTCCACTATGCTATTTAAGGTTATTGCTGTATTATGTGGTCTTCTCCATTTTTCCAATTAAAAAAAAGTAGACATTGCTAGTAAAGAAATCATCTTACTTGAATTGAGTAATATGTGATCCTGCTAATGAAAGAAGCATTTGGCTCACACATAATAAATTATATCCATTTATAGGCCTGGCGACATTATTAAGTTGTAATTGTACTTCTATAAAAAATCTCAATGAATCTAGATCTTTTGAATTCATAACAAGAGAATTACAGACCAAGTCTAGTTGTGTTAATCAAACACAACAAAGCTTTAACTCTATCTGGCTGTTTTTTCTGGTAAAAAAATATTTCATTTATGTCTAGATATGATGTTCTTTAAGGTGCTTCTATTGATTCTTGTTAGGGTTTTCTCTCTAGCCTCTTACGACTTCGTGATCCTGTGCAGTTAATTTTTTTTCCCCTAATTCTGAGAGACTGATTGTTATGGCTGTCTTCTTTTATCATCAGATTACCAAATTTTCATAGCCATCTGACATTTTGTGTTTTCTTGATTTGACAGAATATCTTCGACAACATTCTAAACAGAAAAATTCCCTGGCCATCAGTTCCTGATGAGATGTCTTGTGAGGCTCAAGATTTGATTGACAGGTTGGTGAAATTTGACGATAATTAAATAGAAAAGGAAGCATAGATTGTGAGGCAATGAACGTTGGTTATCTTGTACTTATATCATGGAACTCTAATATTACCATTACCCAGAAATAAATTTACTATCGATAGAAATTTGTTCTAGCTAAGCTAACTATTTCCTTTAGAATTAATAATCTCTTCAGTATGAATTTTCAAACATGAATATCACTGTATTAGTTAACTCTTTTAGTGTTTGTCTTTCCTTGTTCAATTTCGTGTGCACCCGTTAATGACAATCTTTTGTTCTTGAATCTCACACAGGCTTCTTGTTCACAACCCAGATGAGCGGCTAGGAGCAAAAGGAGCATCCGAGGTTGAATATATCAAATTAACGACACTTGCTATGATTGTGAAGATGTCCACTTAAACTTTGAACTGTCTTGTCTTTTCTCTTGTTTTGTAATTCCCTCAGGTAAAAGCACATTCCTTTTTCTCAGGAGTGGACTGGGATAATCTTACCTTACAGAAGGTGGGCCGGCTATATTATTATTTCTTGTATCATAGTGTATATTGCTCTTCATTAGCATAGAATTGCTCATTAATTCATGGAAAAAGTGTTTTATCTAAGATGCAGAATAAGTTTTCAAATGTGAATTCATTTTAAAAAGAGAGCATCATATATTTGTTTTATCTAGGTTTGAGGTGGCTTGCCTAACTCATCAAGTTCTTTTGTTAAAATGTCATAGTAGCATATTCTGTAATTAACAAATTTCTTTAATAGTTATATCATTAGCTAGCTGAGTGAGCAACATTTTGTCTGTTGTTAAAGAAATGGCGGTTATTATTCTAACGGTCGATGTTTGTATAGGCTGCATTTGTACCACAGCCAGAGCGTATGGATGATACTAGTTACTTTGTATCTCGATATAATTCCAATGGAACTGAAGTTGATCAAAGTTCTATGGATTCAGATTCTGACAGCGTAGAATTGCAAACACATACTGGAGGAGAGGTATATACTATAGACTCATTCTCATATCTGAGTTTGTGTCAAAGCTTGAGATGAATTTGACAGTTCTATAGATTTCCAGATAGTTCATATGTCAGTTTACCAATTATGGAATACAAAATTAAGAGTCGAGACGAATGTAAAAGACGGGGAAAGATTATTATGCCTCGTGGTTGTAATTGTTACCATTATGAAGGATTTGATCATTTCTTTTGTTTCAGAAGATGGACGAATGCGGTGATCTTGCCCAATTCGATTCCTCACCGCTTGATCTCTCTTTGATGAATTTCTCTTTCAAGGTACTGCAATTTCCCTAGTTTGTTCAGTAAATCAGAATTTAGAACTAAGTTTTGAATTAATGCTCGGTATTTCCATGAACACGCGTTTACTTGTGACTTTCCTATAAACGAGTCCCAAAAATGTTGAAATCACCGTTCGACTCATTTTTCTTTTAATTGTTTCCCCAAAATGATAAATAATATATGGCGATCATATATTTGGAATCGGATGCACTAAAATAATAATAATTATTATTATTATTATTTATTTTTATTTTTTTTGCAGAATTTGTCTCAGCTGGCGTCAATTAATCAGGATGTGCTGTTGCAGAGTGTGAAGGAAACACTAAAGTGCTCTTCCCCATGCAAAGGCCCGAACCCGACCCGGCCTTGAAACTACCCTTTACCATTACAGAAGCAGCTGAAAATTGTACACATACATATACAAATTACTTAGGCTACAAGCAAACAAGTAGAGAGAGAGATACAAAAATTGGTACGAGTTTTAGGTGGCATTTTTACTGCTTCAGGAAAACAGACTTATTTTATTAAAATAATATATTTTTCATCATATCATCTCGTGATATATTATTCGGCCTAGCTGGATATGAAGCAGAGTACACATATTTGATATTTCCAAGCAATCTACATTCCATTACCTCCCCATTAACAGCCTACTTTGATGTCTGTTGGCTTTTGTGGTGCCTCCTTTGCTGGAATTTAAATACTGTAACGACAATTGTACCGGTTAAGTCATAGGTACGTGGTTTAACCGATTTAATTGGTATTATAGTCTATTATATCGGTTTGAATAAATATTAATTAAATCTGTTATTCTAATATAAATAATGTATAAAATTAACTTTGGTTAAACTTAAATCGATCAAAGTCTAATAGAATGTAAACATATTAAATTAAGATACAAAATTAATTTATGTTAAAAAATATATATTAAAAGAAACTGAATTTCCAAAATTTTAGTCGGATTTTTTATAATAAAATCAATATTTTCTTGTATGGTACATAAATACCTCTGACCGGTTGGGATTCGGCCTATTTCAAACTCCTTGCCGGTTGAATGTCTTGACACCTGCAAAAATTCTCACACTGAAAGGTTTTCCAATGAAGAGCCTTCTATGCTTAAGTTTAGCACTGTGGATAAGATGAAGTATTGTATGCATGTAGAGAATAAAGACAATGTAATGTAATAATGGACATATCTCAATCCCTTGAATAAGGAGATGATACTTTGTTGCTCAAAATTGTCCCTCACTCCTTTATATAAGGATGATACTTTGTTGCCCAAAACAGCCAGAGTGGGTTGCCCGAACTGCCCGAGTTGCCCAAACTGTCCAATTTTGTTAACCCATGTGGCTCTATCCACGTGCGACTCTTATCCCACTAAGATTCGTTGTTATCTATTAGTCTTTCATATAAGAATGGCTAATGATGCGACGAGCTCGATTTCTGTTTGAGGTAGAATGTTGCATGTACCGAGCCTAATTGTTGTTCTTCTGGTCGATCGCTCAACCAACCATACCTTCAGGTCGAGTTTTCAACAGGTCATCTGAAGGCCTTAGCTCTACCTGTTGCTACTCATATAAACGCCTAATGGCTTCTTTGACCTGAAGACTCCCTGCTCTGCGTTGACGTTCGACCTTCCTGCAGCTCTGTTCGATCTACTAGTCTGCTTGGCGTAATCGACCAGTTTATTGGGTTTACTATTCTAGGTATGGTATTTGATGTAGGGAAACGTACAAGTGGAACGATATTAATGAGATCACAATCTCAAAAACATCTAAATACGAATCAATTCATATTTTCATTCAATAATTCACCACCTAACAATAAAGCAGAAGAGTCCTTTATATATGGCTCTCAAAACTAAAACTCTAACTTGCTAAACAAGAAAATACCAAATAAATAAATATTCTCTTACCAAATAGAAATAAGAGAATAAGGAAATAATAATAAAAGACTATAATTAATAAAACTAAATACGGAGACAATCATATTTATATAGAAACTCAATCGTGGTCTTGTCTCTATCATCCTTCCCCGGTTGAGAAGGATTCATCCTCGAATCTGAACTGGTCTCGTCTCCATCGAAGTCGTACGCATGGCAGGAATCGCCCGACATTTTCCTCTATCGATCATGAAGAATGAATGTCGCACCTCAATGATATCACGAGCATATGGGTTAGGTTTTTTATCTTTACGTGGAATACCCATTTTAGGCCCCCGAATGCTTGAGAGATTGACTCGTCTCTCGGCAACTGGATCTCCAAATGGTAAGGAAGCATCAACAACCAAAATGCAATCAACACTTGCGACCTCAATAACTTTTCCTGTGAAGTATTGATCAGGAATGGCCTTCGAATTTGTGGCAGGTGTAACATAATTGGTCTAGATTCTTAATCTAGACTTCATTGCTTGGAGTTCAGCAGTTAACAACCTCCGCTTGGCTACGTCTTCTAGCAATCTAGCACTCCTCTCTCCATACATAGCAAAACCATTCTGTTCATTAGAGTATGTCATTGTACCAACAACAGCATTTCATGCAGCCCTTCTACCGGCAGATGGAGAACCAGTAGTTTTTTAAGGTTGGGTCGCATCCGAAGCCACACAGTCCTCCTCTTTCTCCAACCTCGGAGGCACCTCATTAGAAATTGGCGGACCGTCATAGATATCGCATGCGTCAGGCTCGAAATTTGGCGGATCTTTAAATTCGAGCACGGACTTGACCCGAATCATAGTTCCCAGCATGACTCTCTGTTGCCGTCCATCCCACGGTGAAAATCAAGCCGCTGCAGTCCATGGCATGCGTCACCCCGGCAGAAATCTCGTTGCTGCAGATCGTCTTCTGCGAAGACCCAATCACGCCGCTGTTGTCCGTTGGTTTCAAAGGCGTGTCCGTCGAGGTCCAGGCCCCATCCGCTACGTTGCTGATCGTCACCGTCGAAGATCCAGTCGTGGCGCATCTGGCTGCCCGCGAATCTGTGGTCGTCGCGTCGCCAGCCGCAACATTGCTAACCGTCACCGAGGCCTGCACCATCACCATCGACGCCCCAGTCGCCGGCGAAACCCTGGTTGTCGCGCCGCCCGCCTCGGCCGCCACGTGCATCGAATCATCCAGCCTCGTCATGGTGAGGCTGCAAATCCGCGAACGGGTGAACCACCGAGATGGTCTTCTCACCGTCGTCATCATCAGACGGCGTTTGTGGCGATCACTGACGGTGCACCCCGCATGGACCACGACCACCACGTCCGCCGCGAAATCCCCCGCGCATGCCCCGGTCGCCAGCGTCATGGTTCGTCTACAATTCTGACGTAGGGAAGCGTACGAGTGGAAAGGATAAAACTCACAAAATTCAACAATATCTTATTTCATTTCAATTATCAACTGAATAACACAAAAGATGAGGAGTCCTTAAAATAAGACTCCTAAAACCCTAATACTAACTTGTCCAACAAGACAAGAATCCTAACAATACTAACTTGTCCAACAAGACAAGAATCCCACTAATAATAATAATAATAATAATAATAATAATAATAATAATAATAATAATAATAATAATAATAAAGAGGGAAACAAATAATTAGATTGAAGATTCTAAACATCCTTATCTCCATCAAATTCCCGGACCACATTGTTGAACGTCAAACGCAAGTCCTCAATTCTCGTCGAAAGATTTGCAAACCAATTCGTGAAACGCTCGTCCAACTATTGAAATTGGTCGTCGATCTGTTGAAACCGATCGTTGAAAGTTGAGTCACGTCGTCGTTGAATCGTATTGAGCTCTGATACCAACTGATGTCGGAAAACGTACGAGTGGGACGATATTAATGAGATTGCAATCTCCAAAACATCTAAACACGAATCAATTCATCTTTTCATTCAATAATTCAACACCTAACAATAAAGCAGAAGAGATATTTATATAAGGCTCTCAAAACTAAACTCTAATTTGCTAAACAAGAAAATACCAAATAAATAAATATTCTCCTATCAAATAGAAATAAGGGAACCAGAAAATAATAATAAAAGACTATAATTAATAAAGCTACATATATACAAAGACGATCATATTAATCTAGAAACGTAATCGCGATCTCGTCTCCATCAGTATCCCATACCACTGTATAAAATAATAAATCGATATTTTGGCGAAGATAATATTTGCTCATTTAAAACATTTAAATTAAATAAATGTATACATTAGTTAATCCATTGCTGACATAGAATATTTCAAAGTACCATACGATTACAAGCTCTGTGTTCAGATTCAACATTAGGAGTCTTGGCTAACTTTTAAGTTTGAATAAAATCTGAGGTTGTATAATTGACTTGTCAACTGACACCGATAAAAAAATGTGGCTTTTTGCACGTTCATGAAAAAAAAAATAAAAAAAAATAGAGGTGTCAGCACAACAGCAAGAGTAGACTATTCCAAACGCCGAATGATTTCATGATATAAATAATGGTTTTTATATATAAATTGGAAATTTTCGCTTTAAATTCATGAACATATAAGAAACTCATGCATTTGGATTCCTCTTTAGTGTATAGATACATTATACATAGCCATCTTACTCTACTTGTTTTTT